GTTCGCAAAAGTGGGTTTTGGACAAAAACCGAAATAACAACATTTTTTGTTTGCTCCAAATTGCTCCAAATGGAAATCCGAGATATGCATCTTGTCAATCATACACCATTACAGTGGTGTAAAAACATTGAAGCTAAGTCAAACGGTCTAGGAGTTATGAGCAATTTAGTATGGGCCAATCGGGCTCATACTCTGATAGCTTCTCCACAATTTGAGGCCCTACCATCTGACAAAGTTTCAGAGCTCCAGCCCTTACGGTTTGGGCTGCACAATGCGTTTTAGGGGATTTTTTTTTTCCTTTCTAGCAAATACAATAGGTTTTCAGCACTTCGTGCTTGAACACCTAATAATGTGATATTCGATATGTGATACGATAATGCTTGTAAAATAAACTTAAATGATCTATTATTTCACATTCTTTTTGTGACAAGAAAACATCCCTACAGCTTCTGAAAGTGAACATCAGTGATTTACTGTAGCATGAGAAGTGTTATTAACATCAGTGTAAAGCTCAGGGTTCAGCTTATCCTACATTAGGGTTATTTAATAACAGAAACTGAATTACCAAATGTAAAAATAAACACTGCTTAGGTTTAAATTTTATTCAGCCGAGAGCAGCGAGTGATCTCGATTGATTTGGATCATTTTAATATATTGTGCAGCCCTAGTTACAAACCTACAAACCTACCTAAATAGCATAACAAGAGATTTATACGCTATTTTTTGTAGTCCGTACATTTTCCCACAAGTGTTTCAATGTGGAAAAAAAAAGTTGGGAAGTTGATGGACTATTGGTTTTAATCCAATACAATAAAATGAACTAGCATTTTCTGGTAGGGGAAAATCCTCTCTGAGTCATTTTGACTCGCCACAAGGGTAAACACTAACGATGTGTGTTATCTAAAGATCAGCTCTTACTAGCGGTCGGCACGATGAGCAGGTACACCTCGTCCAGCGTGGCCTCCACAGACTGAGTGTACAGGTTCTTCCAAGGGATCTTCAACTCCAGACGACCTGCCAGAGACAGATATGAGCACTGAAACACCTAATATATGACTGTGTTTAACAAAGTCATAAACCATGATTAGCATAACAGTTTAACACACGAACATCGGTCTTCTCTTACCAATGTGTCCTGCTCGGACTTTGAAAGGAATGTCCAGTTGACTCTGTTACAGAGATAAAACTCACATTATAGCTCTAGTTCACGAAGCTTCAATTAAAAAAATTAAACACACAAAAAAAATTCATTATATCTAACGTGAAACATAAAGCCACATACCAAAGCATTTTCTTTTATCTCGAGGTTTCTTAATATGGCAGCACCTGCAAAAGAAACATTGCTTTATTACCCGGCTTGGTCTACAGTAATTCATATAAGTGAGCAAATATTTACACTGCTATTGAAAGGTACTTATCAGTGAGTCAATAAGCCACATGGCAATATGGCATATAATAAAACTCTATAGGAAGGTTCTCCAGGACATCTCTATTTTCCTGTCTGTCTGTCTGTCTGTCTGTCTGGATAGACGGACGGATGACTTTGATAGATGTATGGATGGATGGAATTGGATGGATGGAATTGGATGGATGGATGGATGGATGGATGGATAGATGGATGGATGGGATGGATGGGTGGATGGATGATGTGGATGGATGATGTGGATGGATGGATGAATGGATGGATGGAATTGGATGGACGGACGGAGGGAGGAAGAAATGGATGGATGAATGGATGATGTGGATGGATGGAATTGAATGGACGGGTGGATGGATGGATGGATGAACTGAATGATGGATGGATGAACTGGGAGTGTTGTTATATAATATAATAATGAATTAACCACCATTGTGCGATTCCAAAAGATTCAAGATTCTGATTCAGTATGTTTTTACCATAGAAAAAAAGTTAGTTAATGTCAAAATGAACATGTTCTTGTTTTGACAGTCAAGACTCAGTGAAATGAGTATACACACAAGTTGTATCCTGAATCTCAGAATGAGTGAAGCCGTCTCTCCACAGTTCACCCAGAAGTGAAGACTGTGTCATGAATCTCTTGTATGACAGGTCAATTTTAAAGCTGGACAGCAGAAATCCCCAATATCTTCCAATGTAAGAATCTAACTGGACATGTTTTAAGCCACATGAGCGTGAACAGACATAACATGTGGGGTGTTACTATCCCAACTAATACAATACTAATTCAGGGTAACATATACTACAAAGTGGAGCTAAACAACATCCCTACACTAGATTTAACCCAAATTATGCATGTAATACTGAGTTAGCTTTGAGTGTAAAACCCATGTCCAAACTTGTCCTCAAAGGCACATCTCACAGATTCCAGTGTAAGCTCAGCTGACTAACGTTACTTTAACGTCAACGACCATATAGCTGTGTTGTGTATATTCATGAATGCGTTTTTATCAGCAAAGACAGGTTTGTGAGTTTGACAGCTGACACGTTTTACTGTACGTTACCTCCCCATATGCCGAGGCTGAGCTGCGAGCTGTCGAGGTTCACCACATAATCGCCCAGAAACCTGTTCAAGACATCGACCACCACTGACTCGAACACCATCTTTCTGCGCTGTTCACTCGACCATCAGCATGCTCTCCTTCGACTGCGGTCCCTGGAGCACCCGTGAGTGTTGTTGGACTTACTACTGAGTGACCCCGTCCCGTTTCCTGAAATAAACATCACTGAAGCTTCTTCGCATGTTCACTGACGCTCTGCCTGTGCGACACTGCACTCTGCTGACGAACACCCGGCGTGACACTGCTTTTTTATTTAATTTTTATAACAATATAACGTTAAATGTACAAACTCAAGTAGAGAACAACAATAATACGCATATGAAAATATACAAAATGACCTGTAATAAATGTTCGATATGTGTCCGAATTAATCTGTGTCCGAAACCGCTCACTCGTTCACTCATTTACTAATCCCTATCTAGTGTATGGCAGTTGACTGCAAGGAGTGAACGAAATGAAGTGAGTGAATTCGGACGCGGACGTTTACACTGTAAAACGACTTCAGGGGGAATTAAAAAAAAAAATTAATTACAAATTATATTACAAATATAATTACGAGTGGCGCTGCTCTTCTCGTCCGGTGTGCGACCCCCTGGAGAATTGGAGCTGTCGCAGATTAGGCTTCGTCACACGCACTGATAAAACTCCCTTTATCTTAGATTACTTCTTTTATGAGATAATATTAACAAGAATAACAATCATAATGACTTTATTTTGTAATTATATATATCTCAGTGCCAGCTTTGTAGTTTCTTCCGGTTTCATCGACTGAAATTACCCTCGCGCTCACACGGATGACGTGTCCTTGATCGCCCAATATAACGGATATTTTAATTTAAATCATCCACCAAATTATTATCTCTTATCATCTGACAGTTTAACGAGTTAACAACAATGCCAAAAATCATCAAAACACATTAGTAAAACACATTAAATTGTTCTTATGTCTAAATAATAATACATTTTTTATATTAATATTATTTTATTAATATATTTTAATAAAAAAACGATATACATATAATTTAACAATTCATCTATATAATATTGTCTCAATGTTTTAATATGTTCTATTCAAGTAATGATTAATAGAAAAATAAAACTATAGCAGGGGATAAATGTTAAATCAGGAATAAGAAAGCTGCAATGTAATCTCTGGTTTAAACTTGCTCTCTCAGTTCTCTCCGCATTGGATTGTGGGAAATAGTGCTTCAGCAAGTGTACATCAAATGTCTGTAATATCAACTTCAAATTAGATTTTCCAGCAATTGTAGATTGCAAATTATTATGTAAAATGTATATTTTGTATAAAATAAAATAAATACTGTAAAGTACATTTGCTTTACAGTAAACTTGAACTTCTATAACTTTTTTTTTTTTTTTTACTTTTTTCACCTCTGCAATAATCTGCTTTAGATCTCTTTTCCAAAGCATTCATGATTTACAACCATTTAAGATCAAAAGTTTTCCATATGTGACAGTTAACAGTTAACAAAAGGAAACATACTGCACAGATAAATGCTGTCAAATGTTCATTTTTTGGGGTGTGAAAACATTGACTAAAACACCGCAGATAACAATGGCAAACAGATTACAGTGAACAAACACGAAAAACTCCAAATACAAAAAGAAATTCACTTGTGTTTTCACTGGCAGCCCATTTCTGTGGTAGTGTTTGCTTAAAATCTCTTAAGACAATCGATGATTTGTGCACATATAATCTAGAATGAACGCGACATCTGTCACAACTACTGATGAATGTAAAATCCACTCACACACTCATTCACTCTGTGATGAATTTCTTTGGGCCCGATGCACTGTGCTGTTGCTGCTGGAACGCTGTGTGAAAGCAGTTTCCTCCATCAGCCGGTCTTATGTAGAGCATGTACAGTAGAAATGTTCATCTTGTAGTCCTAAACCCCAGTGATGGGCTCTCACATGAGTCTCAGATGGGTTTTGGAGTAAAATTTGGTCTGTGTTTCATTTTGGCACAGTTTGTTCAACAACTTAAATCACACACATTTGATACCTCAGACGACAATTGTAAAACCGCTGTGTGCTTTAAAAAGTTTCTACTTAAAGGGCTAGTTCACGTTTTTCCTGATAGTTTACTCTCCTTCACGTCATCCAAGATGTTCATGTCTTTCTTTCTTTAGCCGAAAAGAAATGAAGGTTTTTGACGAAAACACTCCATATAGTGACGTCAATGGGGTCCAAATTACAGTTTCAGTGCAGCTTTAAAGTCTCGACACGATCCCAGCCGAGGAATAAGAGTTTTAAAACAAAATATACATTTATACACTTTTTAACCACAAATGCTCATCTTGCACTAGCTGTGACCCAGCAAACAAACGTTAGTTTTTGGTTCCCAGAACGTTCCTAAAACTTTCCCTTAAGGTTAAGGGAACGTTCCTGGAACATTCTCCTTTCGTTATAAAAATGGAACCTAAAAATAACCTACATGGAACGTTCCAATAGCGTTCTTGTTTGGTTCCCAAAAAAATAACCTCATGGGACCATTCGGGAACGTTAGGGGAACGTCCTGTGTTTGCTGGGGCATTACGTACTATAATCAAGTTGAACGGTGACATTTGGTCCCCATTGAAGTCACTATATGGAAAAAAGTTCTCCTGAAAAACCTTCATTTCTTCCCAACTGAATAAAGAAAGACATGAACATCTTGGATGACGTGGGGGGGAGTAAAATATCAGGACATTTTAATTCTGAAGTGAACTAATCCTTTAAAGACTACAATGGTTGTTTGTTTGCTCAAGTATTGAAACTCACATCCTCATGGTAGTTCAAGTATTTCCAACTTCAATTTCTTCATAAACCTTTAAGTAGTGTTGATCAAAGACCTTATTTTACTCACGAACCCCCTTTATACAGTCAATTCCTCAGAGAACCTGTAGTGAATTAGCATACAAAATGACATTGACTAGACTTCAATGTTAAATTAAAGGCCTTTTTCTCCAAATATACAGTTTCTTCAGTCGAGGATCTGTGGTTTCCCTCGTGTTTAATTGAGAAAATGTGCCTGCCGAGTTCAGTCTCAGAATGAGGTGTCGGATCAGAGAGTTATCGGGCTGTTTATGTCTGCGAGACTCCAGAGAGAGTCAGATGTTCGTCTACACCAGCTCGTCCAGCAGAGTCCCGATGCTCTGGTTCTGCTCCGGCGATCCGCCCAGGGGTTTATTACACATGGGACACACACAGCGCACCTCCAGCCACTTCACCACACACCTGCAAACACACACACTTCGCATTTAGTCCAACTACACACGTGGATTTGTATATACTAGGGATGTAACAATATATCGCAACTATGTATCGTAGATAGAGACCATATGTGTTGTGGATAGTGGGAAAAAAATTGATTTAGTATCAGTACTACATTAAACTACTATATATAATGTTGAATAGGATGTATAATAATGCAATGGGGGAATATTTGTGTGTCCTGTTAATGCCAAATGTCTGATGTAACCAGTAAAAAGTGCTACATTATTTTAAATATATCTAGTCAGTGAAATAATTCTGTGTTTTCAGCTTCAGAATCATGAATATGTTTATATGTTGTCTCTATTGTCCTGTGCGTTGGGTTTCAGCACCAAATCCAAGACTATTCATTTACACACAAAATGTAATATCAAATTTAGCATTTTAATTAACTGTACATTTTCAATATCGTGATATATATTCAATCGTGATTTGAGGGTATCGCTACACCCCCATTATTTACCGTTTTGCTAGATTTTGATAAAATTTTCTCCGATTTATATTAAAGGAGTAGCTCACTTTTAAAAAAATGTTGCTGATAATTTACTCACCCCCATGTCATCCAAGATGTCCACGTCTTTCTTTCTTCAGTCGAAAAGAAATTAAGGTTTTTGATGAAAACATTCCAGGATTTTCTCCATATAATGGACTTCAATGGGGTCCAAACGGTTCAAGGTCCAAATGAGAGTTTCAGTGCAAACTGTTCAAATGATTCCAGACGATGAATAAGGGTCTTATCAAGCGAAACGATCGGTCATTTAAAAAATAAATAAAAAAGTTTAAGTTTTATAAGCACAAATGCTCGCCTTGCTCTGTTCTGTGATCAGCGTTCGTGACTCTCCTGTTCAAACTCGTTCTTTAAAATGAACAAATATTTTTTCGAGTCATTTCGTTCATTTCGGTCGTTGAATGAACGAAACGACTCGAAAAAAGATTTGTTCATTCTGATGAAGGAGTTCGAACGGGAAAGTCACGAACGTGATTTTTGTGCTTATAAAATTTGAACTTTTTTATTTATTTATTAAATGAGCGATCGTTTCGCTAGATAAGACCCTTATTCATCGTCTGGTGCCTTTTAAAGCCCTTTGAACAGTTTGCACTGAAACTCTCATTTGGACCTTGAACCGTTTGGACCCCATTGAAGTCCATTATATGGAGAAAATGCTGGAATGTTTTCATCAAAAACCTTAATTTCTTTTCGACTGAAGAAAGAAAGACATGGACATCTTGGATGACACGGGGGTGAGTAAATTCTCAGCAAAAGTTTTTAAAAAAAAGTGAACTACTCCTTTAACCTGCACCTACAATATCTGCAAAATCTAAATTGACATTAATAGACAAAAGGGCCAAAATAGAAAAGGAAAGAGAGAGTGTTAAAGAGAAACAGGCCAGTATAGTTACGGATCGTGTTGCTGACAATAGCAGATGAAGCTTTATGAACACCAGCTGCTTATTACCTCCTGTGAAAGGCATGTTGGCACGGCAACACTCCCAGCTCATCTTTCACCTTAAAGTCCTCCAGGCACACGGCACACGTCTGCTGTAGAAGGACGGAGGAGAGCACACACACACACACACACACACGAGGAGAAGAGGAAACAAATGCATGGTTAAGCTTAAATTATTGCTTGGCTGCATTTTTTATCAAAAATACAGTAAAAGCAGTAATATTGTGACATATTATCTCTTTCCCTGAAAAATTGAATCCTGGGTCAACATTTCATTCAGAAACTTTAGGCAGTTTTGATTTCTATGTTGTTCAATGTGGATGATATACAACTGTGGCTTTGGAGGTGTTGATGAACAACATGATCTACTCCATCTATGTTTTTATATAATAATTCATTACATTTATATATCACTTTTCTGGGTACTCGAAGCGCATTTACATATGGATGAGGAATCTCCTCAACCACCACCAATGTTCAGGTCCACCTGGATTTTTTTGTTTAAAATGTTGCTTTTTTAAATGAAACTTACCCACATTCAAGTGTTGATAAAAATAATTATGCATGAAGCTATATTTTTTTAACTGCAAAGAGTAAAAGTACAGTTAAAGGTATATTTGAAGTAAAATAAACAAAAACCTAAATAAGAACATAGTAGTATACTATAAGTATTAGTAAAGTAGTATGGGAACAATACTGGTATACTTTTAGTATATTGATATTATGCTTCCAAAATAAAGTGTACTTAAAAATATACCTCACCTTTACATATGTATACTTAATAAAATGACCTTATTTTTTCTAAGGTCAGCCTCAAAAATAACTGTGCCCCCCTCACCTTTTCATTTGGTTCATTCAACGAACAAAACGAACAAATTGACTCGGAAAAAGATTCGTTCGTTTTGATGAATGAGTTCGAACAGGAGAGTCACGAACGTGGGTCACAGAACAGAGCAAGGCGAGCATTTGAGCTTATAAAACTTAAACTTTGTTATTTATTTATTAAATGAGCGATCGTTTCGCTTGATAAGACCCTTATTCATTGTCTGGAATCGTTTAAAGCCCTTTGAACAGTTTGCAGTTTGCACTGAAACTCTCATTTGGACCTTGAACCGTTTGGTCCCCATTGAAGTCCATTATATGGAGAAAAATGCTGGAATGTTTTCATCAAAAACCTTAATTTCTTTTCGACTGAAGAAAGAAAGACATGGACATCTTGGATGACATGGGGGTGAGTAAATTATCAGCAAGTTTTTTGAAAAGTGAACTACTCCTTTAATATATTAGATGTTTCATTTTAATGTTTTAACATAACTAGAAAAAAAATATTTACTATAGAAATTTCTTAAACTTCTATTAAATACACTTGATTGATTTTCATGACTCCCTGAAATTTCCAGGTTTTCAAGGAGACAAGGCAGTTTCTTACCCCATGAAGATTCAGCTTCTTCGGGTCTCCTTTTAAAATAACCTGCAATCGACACAAATGCCAACAGTTAGTACAATAAGCACCGACTAACATGATAAATATGTCAGGGATGACTTCTTTAAAGCATTTCTTCTTACTCTCTCTTACCTCTCTGTATCCAAAGCGCTCACTTTGGGCTTGGTGTCTCAGTTTACTATTGATGACATAGGAAAGATAAAGCATACGATTACTGAAAAAACTTTTTTTTATTGTATCTAGTCACTTACTACGGAAACTGGCAATATCAAAGATATATTTGGATAATATGATTGATTTTAAGGAATTGTGATGGTCTGATGTGAATTGTGGTCTTCACATTCACAGAAAGAGAGGGATTACTCAAGATAAAGTGAAAGTATAACTCACTAAGTGTGGCTGAATCTGTAACATGGACACGGCATGAGTCATTTCCAGGTCCAGGATTAAACCTAAGTTCAGTTTCACTGGTGAATCACTGATCTGTATGGCAGTAGAATCAGACGTTTGCTGCTCACGACACAAGCTCTTCAGCCTCCGCATTGCTTATTCTTGAAGGGCTTTCATTTGCATTTGACATGATTTACATGTTGTCCAATACATAGTTGTGGCGAGCAGGACGAGGTCGAGGGCCGTGGGATTACTGATGAGAGACACCTGCGCGACGCGCTGGTCATAAAATGAGGGGCGACGACAGTGGAGATCGAGAGAGGCCAAGCCTGGATTTTATTTTATGTTTTGGTTTATTATGTGTGGTGGCAGACAGACTTTCATTTTTGTAAAAGTTCATTTATTATTCTTAAAATGAATTTTTATTAAATATGTTATAATTGAAATGATCTGTTGAATGTTCGCCGGTTCCCGCCTCCTGTTCTTCCTACAACATCTAACCTTACAATAGTCAACAGAGAAATAGTTTAAAATAATAATAAATTATAGAAGTCTTTTCTCTGTGCTTTGCCATCTATACAATTTATTTTACAATTGTTTACAAAAAAAAACACAAAGATTATAGACAGAAACGAATAGGATAGGACAGATAAGGAAACAAAAAAAATGAATGGGCCAGTTGTTCAAAGGTAAGCTGATCGGATTTTGGTTATCGGATTTGATCAAATCTTGAAAATGGGTTGTTCAAAAGGGAAAGAAGGGTTAGATCAAGGAATCCAATCCTAGTTTTAATCTGGATCAAACCTTCAGTTTGTGTTTTTCAAAACTTGTCAGTGGGATCTGGATAACTTTGATCCAAAAAAACAGGATTATCCTGATTTCAAGGTGGATGAAAATGTAGTAAAACTTTAAAATTGGTCAAATAATACGTTTGTATCATTTAGTGTATATACTTTTATTTATATTTTGTACTTGACTTGTGTAACCGTTGTAACGGTGATAAAGCAGACATAGGCTAACAATTAAGCTATTCAGTATAGTAAAGTAAAAATAAAATAAAAATTATCTCGTCCCCATTTGTGTTTAGTCTCAAAATAAGAAACACTCACAGTGACCCCATGTTGGCTCTTCTACCTGTTCTTTACATAGCTGGTAGCCCACATTGTGATATGTTGTCCCATTTAGAGCACTGGTAATCTTGAAAACTGTGGATCAGGGTGATCCAGTCCAATGTTGCTTTGAAAAACCGGCATAAAAGTAAAACGGATTACCTGATCCTGGATAGGAAAAAATAGGATTTCCAAATCCGGATCATTTTGATCCAGATTAAACGTTTTGAACAACTGGCCCATTGAGATAGGATAGGAAAGATAGGGTATGGTAGGATTTGTGGTATATGATAGTGATAGATGATAGGATATAAGAACAGAAAAGAAAAAAAACAAAAAGGATAAGATAGGATAGGACAGGTCAGGGAAAAAGACAAAAAAAGTATATAATATAATATAAAGAAAAAAAAGAAAAGAAATGAACTTAAAAGAAAAGGCTACAATATCATAAAATATAACTGGATTATAAAGAAGAAGAAAAAAACAGGACAGACTTGTAAAAAGAGCTGACATATTTTGATTCAGATATGTGAAGCAGTTTTCATTGTCCTGTGATACAATCATTTCATTATAAACACCCATCAAATGTGTTGGTGACGCGAAGCGCCCAGACGTCTGCATGAGTGCTGTGAGATCAGCAGATTCCTGTTATAGATAAGATATATATGCTTGTGCACCTGTGTGTGTGTGTGCATGAGATCAGATTTACCTTATAAAATAGCAGCAGAATATGAGGCTGAGTACGAAGACAAAGATGCCTGTGCCGAATATAACCATATAGATATTGAGAGGCAGGTCCTGGAAGGTGATGGATGGCATAGTGCAGGTCTTATTGGAGTAGATCAGTCCCAAACCGCAGAAGCACCCTATACACACAAGTACAGGGGATTCAGAGAGCAGTCAAGTGAAATCTGATCACCAAAACAGGAAAACAAACAGAACACAGCTTATATATAGCAAGTATAGTTTAATATAGTTTTGACATCTTTACCATGGGGAAAACCGTCATATAGATATTTATAATATTATCTCATAATTTGGCGGCAGGAATATTAGGCTGCTGTCACTTTAAAGGGTTAGTTCACCCAAAAATGAAAATTAAGTCATTAATTACTCACCCCCATGCTGTACCAACCCCGTAAGACCTTCGTTCATCTTCGGAACACAAATAAAGATATTTTTGATTGAATCTGAGGGCTGGATCACTCTTCCATAGACAGCCTGAGGGACTGCCTCTTGACGGCCCAGAAAGTCATTAAAAGAAAAGGTTTAAATATTCCATGTGCCTACAGTGGCTCAACTATAACTTTATCAAGCGACGAGTCTACTTTTTGTGCGAAAAAAAAAAACGTAAATAACGACTTTATTCGACTTTCCATTACTTCCTTATGGGCGCATGCGCGAGAACTGAGACGAGACCGTTCTTCTTCGACTACTTTTTGTTACCGGCTGCTCACCGCTTAGGAGTTTTACCGCCCCCTACCGTATAAGATGACGTACTGCTTGTAAACAGAATTTTTACAAGCCTCCGGCTATATCAGTACGTCATCTTATACGGTAGGGGGCGGTAAAACTCCTAAGCGGTGAGCAGCCGGTAACAAAAAGTAGTCGAAGAAGAACGGTCTCGTCTCAGTTCTCGCGCATGCGCCCATAAGGAAGTAATGGAAAGTCGAATAAAGTCGTTATTTACGTTTTTTTTTCGCACAAAAAGTAGTCTCGTCGCTTGATAAAGTTATAGTTGAGCCACTGTAGGCACATGGAATATTTAAACCTTTTCTTTTAATGACTTTCTGGGCCGTCAAGAGGCAGTCCCTCAGGCTGTCTATGTAGGACTGATCCAGCCCTCAGATTCAATCAAAAATATCTTCATTTGTGTTCCGAAGATGAACGAAGGTCTTACGGGGTTGGTACAGCATGGGGGTGAGTAATTAATGACTTAATTTTCATTTTTGGGTGAACTAACCCTTTAAGACCTGACGCACAGATCCATTATACGGTTACACATGCGTTTTCTTTCTCTACTGTTTATGTTCTCTTAAAACTGACTGCGTTTACATAAATATTGGCCAAGACTGGCATTTTAACATTATTTTGTGTGTATTTGACAGTTTAAGAGCAATAAGCAGCGAATAAGAACTCAATTTAATACTAAGAGGATGGCTTCATGTGACGTACTGAAAGGCTGTGTGCATAAAATGATGCTGAATATGTGCAATCCCAAGTCAAAACTCAAGCCCTGTAACACTAGCAATATTCATCCGGAATATTCATCATTCATCCCTTTCATCAAAGGAAGATATTTGCTTTTAAAGGAGTAGTTGACTTTTAAACAATCTTTTGCTGATAATTTACTCACCCCCATGTCATCCAAGATGTCCACGTCTTTCGTTCTTCAGTCGAAAAGAAATTAAGGTTTTTGATGAAAACATTCCAGGATTTTCTCCATATAATGGACTTCAATGGGAACCAAACGGTTCAAGGTCCAAAAGACTGTTTCAGTGCAAATCTCAAACTGTTCAAAGGGCTTTAAACGATTCCAGACGATGAATAAGGGTCTTATCAAGCGAAACGATCGCTCATTTAAAAAAAAAAAAGTTTACGTTTTATAAGCTCAAACCTTGCTCAGAGCCTTGCTCTGTTCTGTGTGACTCTCCTGTTCGAACTCATTCATCAAAATGAACGAATCTTTTTCAGTCAATTTGTTCATTTCATTCACTGAATGAACCAAATGACTCGAAAAAAGATTCGTTCATTTTGATGAACGAGTTCGAACAGGAGAGTCACAAACGCGCATCACAGAACAGAGCAAGGCGAGCATTTGAGCTTATAAAACTTTAACTTTGTTATTTATTTATTAAATGAGCGCTCATTTCGCTTGATAAGACCCTTATTCATCGTCTGGAGTCGTTTAAAGCCCTTTGAACAGTTTGCAGTTTGCACTGAAACTGTCTTTTGGACCTTGAACCGTTTGGTTCCCATTGAAGTCCATTATATGGAGAAAATCCTGGAATGTTTTTATCAAAAACCTTAATTTCTTTTCGACTGAAGAAAGAAAGACGTGGACATCTTGGATGACAGGGGGGTGAGTAAATTATCAGCAAAAGTTTTTTTAAAAGTGAACTACTCCTTTAAAGAAAAGGACTACAACAAACAGCTGGTAGGGACTACAAAACATTCCTCCTGGGTTAGTGACGTCACCAACCCTAAAATGTACATAAACCCCGCCCCCGGGAACACACAGTCCATGTTGAGAAGAGGAAGAGTTGTATAAGAGCACATTTGTGAGTCAGCTCAATCTTTAGCATCCATCTTTTCACATGCAATAGAAAGTCACTCTGTGCATCACACAACAGTTCCTATATGAGCGATTTATACATTAAAAGGATATCTTAATTGAAGATAATTTACTCCACATCAGCAACATAAATGCATCAACTAACCATTCAGAGACATCCTATTGCATTCTACATGTTGTCACTTCTTCTTGAGTCTCTTCATTGTCTGTGTGAGGAAATCGCAGCTGCTAACCCACACGAGCTCTTGAAACCCCGCCCTCTGCAGCAGCTCATTTGCATTTAAAGGGCCAGGCACCGGTTTTTGCAAACGGTTTTTGCAAACCCTCAAAAAGTGACAACTTTAACATGCTATATAAAAATATCCGTGGGGTATTTTGTGCTAAAACGTCACACACACACACTCATCAGAGATTTATTTTACATCTTGTGAAAATGGCATTTTACAACCCCTTTAGTAAAACCCTAAATTAAATCTGTTCATCATATTAAGCGATGAACAGATTTAATGGGTGTTTTAAAATTTAGACTAAACCGTTTAATTCATATGGATTAGTTTTACAATCCCTTAATGCAGTGTTTCCCAACCTGTTCCTGGCGGCACACCAACACTGCGCATATTCTCCCTTATCAAACACACCTGATTCAACACATCAGATCATAATCAGATGGGTTAATGAGTTGAATCAGGTGTGTTTGATTAGGGAGACAAAGAATATGCGCACCAGGAACAGGGTTGGGAAACACTGCCTTAATGAACTTTCTGAAGCGTCAAAGTTGCGTAGACGGAGATTTCTCCAAATTCATTAAAATATCTTCATTTAAGTATCAAATATGAAAGAAAGGTTTAGAACAACATGAAGGTGAGTTTTCATTTTTGGTTGAACTATTCCTTTAAATAAATGACAAGGATGGCACTTTCTTGTTCCCAGTTGACAACTGAAACAAATAAACAGCAGCCTTTTCATTTCTGCAATCTCCTGGACCGACGGAAATCAATAACATTGTCATTTAGCATCATTTCTGCTGAGAGTGAGACACGTCTCCCTCAAGTAGAGTCAGGAACTCGATAGTCTCAGTCTCTCCACTTCATTCTCACACTCCCATAATGCCCTTGAGAACTTGAGGAAAGACTTTTAAATATATTATTGATAGCTGATTTAAAATCAGGTTTTTCCCCCATTCCAGCTCTTGTTTAATGTGAAAATATTACAAATGCGGGCAGACGATTCCCAGTCAACTGTCTAGTCGATTATCAATCTGCTCTTTTTCTTACAAATCAGCTTGATAAACATATGATCTGTTGCTTTGTCCCACACAGTTTATATAAAATGTTTTTGCCCATATTTAGTATTTTGGTTATAATATAGTTAATTAAATATTAAATGATTTAACAATGTATGGATACTATTTGTATTATTAATTAATGGTATTATGTTGGTATTTTTATTAATGAATTACTTACATTGCACTGTTTATTTTTTTTCTTTTGTGAAAAATGAAAAAGAGTACTAGTCAAAGAAATTAAATCCTTTAACCCTCTGGGCTTCTTCGTAAATGGGTTACACTTAGCTTCCTCCCGGTCAAAAACGGATGAAGCCTTAAAATTTTACTTTACTTTTTCCCAGGATAACCGTTCAAACATATTTTTGTTCTATAATATTTTCTGATTATTATTTAGAATTTTCAGAGTTTTTTATGATACTTTGCATTAATTATAGAATTTTTAAGAGCTATTTTTCCATTAGAATTAAACAAATAAACTATTTATTTACGTGTGAACTAAATATGTAAAAAAAAAATGTAAAAAATGAAAAAAATTTAATGAATTGAATGCATTTCTGACACTTAATTCAATGAAAATGTACAGTATTATATTAGGTGAAGTTAAGAGTGATTTTTTTCAACTCTCTTAAGTACAAGTATTTATGCTAAACTAAAGATGTTGACTTGTTACACATGTTACACATAATTTACTGTAACTATAAATTATGCATAATCACATGCAACAAACTTACCCTAAACCAAACCAAACACTATAGTAAGTACATGTAGTTAATTAGTACTTAAATATATAATTACATTTACAGTTAGTTCATTACAGTTCTTTTAATTTAAAATAAAAAGTAACCTAAACTAAAATATACTTTTATTGAAATGTACTAAATTGAAACATACAAGTTTCTATTTCATTTGTTTTATTGAAACCTGTATGTATTTTTTTGCAATTAAGCACATTTAAAAAATCAAAAATGTAAACACAAACGTACTTAAACGTATCAAAATAAATTATTTAACCCTCTGGGGTTGTTCGGCCCAAATGGACCCGAAGAATTTAAATAATTTTTTTTTTTAAATCACAGCTTCCTCAGAATGGTCTGAAATTTGGTGACTTTGTTGGTATTTGGTATTTGAACACCCCAAAAAATTGGGGACAGGATGTGAATAGTCTAAGTGGTTGTAAAAAAAATAGTCACACTTGGGGTGTTCGGGTCCAAATGGACCCGCATGGAAAATGAATGGGAAATTGGCAAAAATGTGAAAATACTGAGTTTTTTTGTGCGTACAATCTACAAATCAGCCACAATCTTGAAAAAAAGCACACAGCAGTGAAGGGGTGAATCTATAAAACATCAAGAGTGCAAAACAGACACAACCAGATACACACACACACACAAACACACTTTTATACCCAAACACACCAAAAAATTCATGTGTTTTGCATTTTTAAAATGCTCAGTTTGTCCATCAGATGGCATCCATCTCATTTCAAAAATTGCTTTTATGAGGCCTAGGCTTGACTCTAAAATTAAATACAGCTTTAAAAAATTATTATTATTATTTATTTATTTTTTTCTATTATGTTCAATGGGGGGAAATTTTGTCATAATTATTGCATTAATACTACTTATACATTTTTTTATTTTTGAAATTTTCTCAAAACACCAAAAAAGAAAAGAAAAAATATTATAAAAAACGGGTAAAAAAAAATCATGATTTTTTTTTTTTTTTAAACATGAATCCCGCCCTTTGGGTCCATTTGGACCCGAACACCCCGAGTGTGACTCTGAAACGAACAAGCCCAGAGGGTTAACTTAAACATAATGATTTTTTTTTATGTAAAACTTTTAATTTGACACTATTACACTATTGTATCACTTATTACACTATTGTCTACTATTACACTATTGTATCTCTTAAGCACACTTAAGTGGCCTTTTATTTCATTAATATTATATCATAATAGTAACGTTTTTTTTTTTTATAAATATACTACTTACAAGATATAAGATTTGAACTTGAAGTACACAACAAGTATACATTCATTACAAGTAAGTGCTTAATTTCTTCCGAGTGGTTGTGTTGTTAGCAGTACAACAATAAATAAATAAATAAATAAATAAAGCAGGAGGTAAGATGAGGGGGTGTGTGTGGAAGAGACACAAGCGTAAAAATGTACAAGCAAAACTAGGTCACTACGGTTGCTGGCCATTTAACACACACATTTGTTCAGTGACAGAACACTAGAGAAAGCCGTTTACGGAGCGAGACTATGTGCTCTTTAGTGTTGGGGAACCAGATAACACACCATTTGCCAGCGGAGATCTTTCATACACTGCTGCTGGTTTAAGGAGAAAATAATGGTGTTGACTGTGAAATTTGCACATGGTTTGTCCATCACAGACACCTAAACAACATTTTTCACCACATGGGTCTTTAACAAAAAAGCAGACCGAAAATGTGCATGAAATATTAACAAACCCAAGAGATTATGGGGCTCTCGTCTATGAAGCGCTTTCAAGACAAATATGGAATGACCTATAAATATGAAACAATGGTGAAATCGAAATATTTTCAGAAGCCCTTAATGAATCTCAAGAACCGAGACAGAATGAGAAGTAGATCAGATCTAAATAATGACCACAAAATTATAATGTCAATAATCTATTCAAATATCTATTCCATCAGGCTGATTGTCCGTTTAAGCGTCAAAATCTTCATGGCACTGCATTAAAAGTGGGTGTAAGGTCCTCATATATGCTTTATTAATACAATACTCTGACTGTCAGAGACAACAATGAACATTTGTGTTAAGTGGATAAAGATCTGGTCAATGATTTGACATCCATTAAGTTGTTAATATAAATATCAAAATAACAAAATATAATACCTGTACAATGATTAATGCTATTATTTAAAAAATAGCATTATTTATATATGTATGTATATGTATATTTGATTTAGCTCATTTATTAAAAATAATATAGCCTAAAATCACAATTTATTCATAGGAATTTTGTCTGGTGTGGTGCAACTAGCAATCGGGAAGCCATTTTTTGTAATGTGACAAGAAAACTATGGCCAGGTCTAAGATTAAGCCAGGATTAGGCCTTAGTTCAATTATCTTTTATAAACGGGCCTTAGAAAAACACATGACTGGTGTGCATCTTGAGACAAAACAATAAGATCTGTCAGTGCTAGGTGAAGCATGCGTCCAGGATTAGTTTATAAAGTTATGAATATGTATATTTATCTTTTGTAAAATACATCTATATCCATGGCTCTAAGATATGTGATTTGAAAACTATCACTTTGAAAAATATGTGTATTCAGTATTCAATGTATAAAGAAATCATTTTAGAATGGTTACACCACTTGACATTTGTAGCGATTGAATCCAACTTTTTAGAACGTTTTTCAAAATGTATGAAACCAATATGGATAGAAATATTACATTTCTGAGACCTGGCACGTGCGTTTCAAACTAGATTTCTCCTCCTCATCATCATCTCAGACATCTTTATTTGTCATTGACCCATTTAGCAGAACCCAGTGTTTGTAAATCCTCGACCTTTTCCCATTATTGTGTTTTAATATTGTATACCAGCCTATAAAATCCCACTATTCCGTGAAGGATAAAGATGATCTTACCGTTGCACCACTGGAAAGGGTGCATCAATCCACCCGTGTGATTCTTCCTATGAGCAGATGTGTGTTTATAAACAGAGAGATGATGCCCTCTGTCTGTGTGTCGCTCTGTCAGGCCATTCATTCAGCACATCTGGATTCATCTGACTACGCACAGTCCTCCTCACACGATGCGAGTCAGTAAATGCAGTCACATTCACGACATTCGGGTCATATTAAGTGCGATGCGCGTGGTTTTTCATGTGCTCGCGCGTCGTGGCTGATGTTGGCATCCATTGAGAATGAGAACTAAACAAGAGCGAGTTTAGACCCTCCCAGCCCGAGTGATGAGCACCGAGCAGAGCCAATCTTCTCCAGCACAACCCCACTGTCATCACTGACTCACTTATGAACACAAACAAGTACGTTAAATGTTATGTATTAGTTTAAATTAAATTCGTTTGAATAGAAATAGCCTACAATAGCAACGTCATTTAAAATAACGCCTCCGAAATAATTAGCCTACACTAGATTTTCCTCAGGAAAGCGAGTGGTGTTTGCCTGAGCAAGATTTGTTACCATCCCAGCTGGCAAAAAAATGTAAGAACGTTTTGCTAACGTTCCAATGAAGAGATGAAAACGTTCTTTGGACGTTCACGACGCTCTGTGAGCAATTTAGGCCTATGTTTTTAACTTTTTATTAACCGGAAGAAAGATTCTTCGTTGTCCAGAACGTTCGCTACAGTTCTAAAAACGTTCCCTGTTCGCTGGGATTATTGGGTTTTTGAGTTTGATTATGGCTTGAGTTAAAAGTACCCAGCTTCAAGCCTGATTCTGTGATATGGCAGGGGCCGTCAAAGGGCCCCAGGACTCTCAAAAGAGCCCAGCCTCATGGCGGTGGTCCTGAGATATAGGAGAGGTCCCTAAACTGCCCCAAGTAAATAAAGTTTATTTACTTATTTATTTAGGGCCCCCCAAGGGCTTCAATATCCTTCCCATTTCTTTATGATGTTGTGGCTGCTGGGGTTTATTTATAACAGTAAACAAAGTCAATTTCAGGAATAACATAGCAGCCTATTTAATAATCACGATTAATCGCATCTGACATAAAAGTTTGTTTATAGCCTATGTGTGTGTAAATATAGACATACACAGACAATAATAAATATATAATCCAGTTTGAATAATGTACTACAGTATATTATTATTGTAAAACAAATTCTATAGATTATTTTTGTAAAACAACACAAGAAAAAAAAAAATCAAATTGATAGACCATATAGTTATAAACATGCCATCCCAGACAGCAGCATAGTGTCGGCCCAGATCAGGTACCGACACTACCTGAAAGCACACGTACATCACAGAGACGTCTATTTGATGTGCGTGTTCACATCTGGAAGACGTATTTTTTAGAGTGTTTGCTCTATAGGACGTTTCCAGTCAGATGTCAAATAGACGTTTAGAAGATGTCTTTAAGATGTAATGATTTAGAATGTATGTTAAACTCAGATGTTAGTAAACAGAAGATGCTTTACAGATGAAGTGATCTTTAACAGACATCTTGCAGACGTACGTGTGCTATCCTGGGATATGTGAGAGCATACTGCCCTCTTCTGGCACAAAGCATGAAGTGCCTTTCAGTAACCTTCTCTGTTTAATGTGACTGGCGTTTCTATGTCCATCACTTGCCATTCGGAAGAAATGGGGTTGGTCATCAGATCTTTTCCCAACCCTTCCCTGTTCATGGCGTGGGACTCACACACACACACACACGCATTCACACTTACGGACAATTTAGCGTCTCCAATTCCCAGATACTGCATGTTTAGGTAGAAGATGCAAACTCGAACCGGAGACCTCAAAGCTGCCCTCGTTGATGTTTTGTCATGTGTAATTTTGGTTGCACTTCATTTTACAGTACGTGTTCTTACAGTGTAAATATCTAAGAAAGTACTGGGCAATATAAGGGAATTACATTGGTTAAAGTGATAGTTCACTTTGAAATTAATTTTTGGTTTTAGCTTACCTCAAGGGCATCCAAGATATTTCCACAGTAGTTTCAATTTTGATATTTTTAGGTCAAACTGTTCTTGTCTGTCAGTCATATAATGGAGGTCTATGGTCACCACCTCAAAGAGCATGCACAGAGAAGTCCAAATTAAACATGATTTAATGACTCGTAAATGTAAGTACACATTGATGGCTTAAGACACGAAACGAGCGGTTTGTGTGAGAAAACGAACAGTTTTCATATAGTTCTTACCTCTTGCGCCCTCAGATCGCTTCCGGTGCAGACCGAAGAGCCCGCGCCCACAGATCACTTGGACGTGGCTGTGATTACACGAGGTAAAAACGATATAAATACTGTTCGTTTTCTCACACAAACCGCTCATTTAGTGTTTTAGGCCATCAATGTGTACTTACATTTATGAGTCATTAAATCATGTTTAATTTGGACTTCTCTGCGCATGCTCTTTGAGGTGGTGACCATAGACCTCCATTATATGACTGACAGACAAGAACGGTTTGACCTAAAAATGTAAAAATTGAAAATACTGCGGAAATAAAGACACCTACATCTTGGATGCCCTTGAGGTAAGATAAAACATATCAAAATTAATTTCAAAGTGAACTATCCTTTTAAGGTTAGGTTCAGGGTTAGTACCTAGTAATTACACAGTTTTGCAATCACTATAATAAGTACATAGTATAAAGTGCTACAATATATGAAGAGTTCAGATGCAAAAGCCTCTAAATGCCATTTGAAATTTTCTTCTTTAATGATGATTTTTATCAAGCTTGTATATTTAAGTTCAGTAATTTCACTTAAATAACAATTAATAGGTAATTATCATTGCCATTTAAGTGAAATCACTGAACTTAAATATACAAGCTTGATAAAAATGATCATTCTAGAAGAAAATTTCAAATGGCATTTAGAGGCTTTTGCATCTGAACTCTTCATATGTATTATATATATTTTTTCATTTAAAAAACAGTATATTTAATAACATTTAATAAATATGTAAGCATAAATCACAAAATAATCCAAGAAAATATTTCATTTAATTTGTCTCTCTGTTAAAAACAGTATATCTTTAAATACGAGGTCTGTGATTATTACAGTAATTTGTGTGTCTAGAAAGGGGTTTTATTTCTCAGCACCGTCCACTATCATTAGAAGAAATAAGTCTGTTCATATGCAGAGATGTTTGCCACATAAACAGGGTTGTAGTTGTATATGAGCGCGCTGCTCTCTTCCGCTGCGTCTCTGAAGTGGTGTGTGCTTCTCCTTGCTGAAAACACACAGATGCATGTGTTCATTTAGCACTGCATTTATCATCCAAACGTATACAAACAAGGAACATCACAAACAAACAAGTAAACAAGTGAGAGACTGTAATTACCCTCATTAACAAAGAATTCAGCCAGTAAGGATGAGATGCGCACAGCATTTCTGGAATGAGGAAAGTTGTGGCGCGGGTCCCACTGAAAGCGGTTCACCTCTGGGTGCCACTGAACCCCATAGAAAGGGTGATTCCTGCCTGCACACACACATCACTCATCATTTACACGGTGTATGGCTGCTTGTTTGTAATGTAAAAAATATGTTGTTTTTTTACCTTCCATTGTGGAAACAAACTCAAGGCCGTTTTCTGCTATGTTTGTGGACAGCACTGAGAAGAAGCCTTTCAGTTTCTCGTTTCCCATGAATGCCTGAGAAAGAGGAATAGGAACTCATTGCTCGCTGTTTTTGTTATTTAGATTAGAATGATTTAAATGAACATATATGGTGTGTTTATAAAGCATGTACCTCTTTAGTCACTCCGTAGTGGTGGAAGTTTGCAGTGAGTGGTTCCTGAGACAACGCTTTACGGAGGTCAGGAGGAACGCTAGCAAACATACGACTGGATGGAGCCTCTGTTAGTGGAGGATATACAAGCACAGCTGATGATCTCAACCACAGCAACTATTACATTTAAATTATATATATATATATATATATATGTATATTGGTTTTATATATATATATATATATATATATATATGTATATTGGTTATTTATATATATATATAGTATACTGTATATATATATATATATATACTGTATGTGTGTTTACATATATATTTACAAACTTTTATGTTAGAAGAAATCCATCAATTTAATATATAGCTGTAAATGTAAATTGGAATTTATAATTTTTTACACAATATATATACATATTTTAATTATAAATAACATTTTTTGCTTAAATGTATACGGTATGGGTGTATTTATACATACAAAATAATTATAAACAGTACACACACATATATTATGTAAACAAAAACTTTTATTTTGGATGCGATTAATCACGATTAATCATTGCCCAGCACTACTTTATAGTTATTGCTATTGTCCTCGGTGAGAATGGGCCTTAAAGGGGTGGTTCAGGATTTAAGACATCGTGCCTCATTTCCAAGTTAGCCTGGGGGTTATTTATCAGTGGAGACTGTTTTCAAAAAAATTCATCCAGTCAACGATAACTGCTAGCCTGCCATTAAAAACAGTTCTACCCACTATTATACATAAATATAAATATTTGATATATTAATAACACATTTTTCTTAAATATATACATGCATGTGTGTGTATTTATACATACAAATTAATTATAAACAGTACACCCACATATATTATGTAAACACAAACTTTTATTGGATGCGATTAATCACGATTAATCATTGCCCAGCACTACTTTATAGTTATTGCTATCGTATCGTCCTTGGTGAGAATGGGCCTTAAAGGGGTGGTTCAGGATTTAAGACATCGGGCCTCATTTCCAAGATAGCCTGGGTGTTATTTATCAGTGTAGACTGTTTTAAAAAAAAATTCATCCAGTCGTTTCAGTTGCATAGTTCGCTAGCGTGAGTCAACGATAACTGCTAGCCTGCCTTTAAAAACAGTTCTACCCACTATTATACATAAATATAAATATGTGATATATTAATAACACATTTTTCTTAAAGGGTTAGTTCACCCAAAAATGAAAATTAAGTCATTAATTACTCACCCCCATGCTGTACCAACCCCGTAAGACCTTCGTTCGTCTTCGGAACACAAATGAAGATATTTTTGATTAAATTTGAGAGCTGTATAACTACCACATTGGCTCCTAAAGGACTGCCTCTTGACGGCCCAGAAAGTCAATGAAGAAAATGTTTAAATATCCCAAGTGACTACCGTGGCTCAACTATATGTTTATCAAGCGACGCGAATACTTTTTGTGCGAAAAAACAAACAAAAATAACGAGTTTATTCGACTATTTCTTTTCTTCCTTGTAGGCCAGAACGAGACTTCCTTAGATTTCCACGACGCATGCGCGAGAATTGTGATCTGAAGTGGTGTAAGCTGGTGTGAGCAGATCGCAAATCTCGCGCATGCGTCATGGAAATCTAAGGAAGTCTCGTTCTGGCCTACAAGGAAGAAAAGAAATAGTCGAATAAACTCGTTATTTTTGTTTGTTTTTTCGCACAAAAAGTATTCGCGTCGCTTGATAAACATATAGTTGAGCCACGGTAGTCACTTGGGATATTTAAACATTTTCTTCATTGACTTTCTGGGCCGTCAAGAGGCAGTCCTTTAGGAGCCAATGTGGTAGTTATACAGCTCTCAAATTTAATCAAAAATATCTTCATTTGTGTTCCGAAGACGAACGAAGGTCTTACGGGGTTGGTACAGCATGGGGGTGAGTAATTAATGACTTAATTTTCATTTTTGGGTGAACTAACCCTTTAAATATATACATGCATGTGTGTGTATTTATATATACAAAATAATTATACACACCACACACACATATATTATGTAAACACAAACTTTTATTTTGGATGCGATTAATCGCGATTAATCGTTTCACAGCCCTAGTCCAATGTCGAAAATCCTGAACCACCCCTGTAAGGCCCAATCTTATCTTTCTAAAGTAGTGCTGGGCAACGATTAATCGTGATTAATCGCATCGAGAAATAAAAGTTAGTGTTTACATAGACTACAGTACAGTATGTATGAGTACCTGAGCTGAAGTTGAGCGGATAAGTGACATTCTCGGCTGTCGTCTTGCTCAACAGGTTCTGTCCGGACACCAGCACAGTGAGCAGCTGAAACCCCAGGCATGTTCCCCAGATGGGAAAGTACTCGCCCTCCTCGTGTGCCTGAGTACAGAACAGACTTTTTTTTTTAAACTATCAGTGATTCATTCATTTTAGCTCATAATATGATGCTAAAGAATCAGGAAAACTACTGAAATAAAGACAGTGGCATTTAACTAATAGTTCAGGAGACACGAGGAGCACATTGATCATCACTTACAGTACAAACATGACTTTTACTGTAATTCACTGACCTTAAGGGCCAGTGTGAAGTAAATCCCAGCAGTGTGAGCAAACTCAGACGTCTCCAGGCTCACAGAGCCTCCGATGAGAAGAAGACTGATTGGCAGACAGATATCTTATGAAAGTTATGCTTTTGTATTTTGCTTCGTTCAGACATGACACGAGGTGTTAATACAGTATTTAGGGCATAAATGTAGGTCTGCGCAGATAAATATTAAGAATTAATTATGAACTGGTAGAATTGATGAAATCTAGGTTACTTCAATTATGTATTCTGTGCTGTAATACAGCATTTTCTATATGTATCTAATGGCCTAAATCTGGAGAATGTAACGATCATGTATGAATAATTCAGGAAACGCCATCATAACAATAAGGAACTCATTATTTTGAGTTTAGTGTGAGAATACTGTTGGAGAACATACCCATTTATTGACTTGAAGATTTTTTCATGTTCTGCAAAACTCTGGTTTAGCCTGTAACATAAAATGTAAGTTTGTATGATTGCTTAAATAATGCATTTTGGACACTGATTAGCTGATTTAAATTAATTATTAAATCAGCTAATCATTATTTCATTTCATATTCGATAATGCGGGATTCTCTTTTAATGTACAGTTTTTGTTATTTATTTATGGCTGAAATGGTTAATAACTTAGTCACCAAGTTTTGTGTATTCATATTTGATGTATTATTTCCTGACTAAATAATGAACATAAATGGCATGGGAACACGTACTTGTGAAAGAGAAATGTGCTTAATTGTATTGAACGTACACTTGTACTCTAATTCAAATCTTAAAAGTATATTTATATTTTTTTTAAAAAACTGTAATCGCACATAATGTAATATTACTTAAATAAAATCCCAATTTCAACTTTAAAAAAAGTTGTACCTATTTTATATCATTATGTTTAATAATCTTTTGTCACACTTCAAAAAAGTAAACGTATTTTGTGTTGACTAACATACTAAAGTAGGCCTACTTGATTATTGATTAAAAACAACAGTGTTATTCAATATAAAATGTATAGCAATATTCAGCAGTAAACTTTCACCATATTTCAAAATCAACAGATTTATGAAATTACATATTAAGACGTAGGCTACTAGGTTGCATTTAAAATTTAAACTATAAAACGAGTAAAATGCAATTAAGTGCCCAGAAACATTACCTTCAGCTCGTATAAGTATAGCCTTTCCTTTTATTTTTTCGCTAAAAACTCATTTTAAAGTATGCAAAAGTGTACTTCTTTTTCACAAGGGAGCACTTTGCTGTAATAAACGGAATTCGAATCAATGAATCGGTTCCTGAAATGAATCGAATCAATGCTAACAAGAAGAACTGAACAGAACAAGATTTACCTAACTGGCACAACTCTGGCTCCTCCAGATTCGATGTACTTCACATATGATGAAGGGATGTAGGTCTTTCCAAATATTTTCATAGCCTCTCTGTCAACCTCTTGCGTCAGAATCCCTACAGACGAAGTTTGAAGACGTTAAGAACACATTTAGATTGTTAGCAAAACAAGAAATTAAGGGGATGCTATTGAATCATATGTTGACATATAGTACTATGAATACAGGAGTTTTACCGATGATCGGTGTGTTGTTCTCAGGCTCGTTTCTCTGCAGGTGTTTTACCGGAAACGCGGCGCACAGCGCGAGAACGCACACGCACGGGAGCGCGCTGAAGCCCATTCTCACTCACTCGGACCTGGAGCCAGATGTGCTCGTTCAGTCGCATAATCGGTTTCATATAGTGTGCGAACTGAAGGGAAGTCATGAGATGGGCGGGGTTTGTACTTTTAAGAGGAAGGAAAACAAATAAAGGTTTACACCTACACCAGTAAATACCGCTAACACACCAGTTAACACTTCGAGAAATAGCCTAGACTCCACACACCAGACCAGAAGTTCCTGAAAGTTTTAGGAACTTGTATTTTCCTAAACGTTTCTCACAACAAATGTTTATCACGAGCTAGTGACATCAGCAGTTTTGAGCTTTATTCTGTGGACTTCGAGAGTGAACAGACTGGAATTTAAAATTATTAAAATAAATTTTAAATTGTTAAAAAGTTATTTTAAATTGTCATAATATTTAACAATATTATTGTTTTTGTTGTATTTTTAGAACAAAAAATGCAGCATGAACTTTACGCAAACCAAAAGTTGTCATTGTGAAGAATGTACCGGTTCCAACTTTTACAAAACTTCTTTACCTACAATGCATATTTAAAGTCAACATGAAACCAAAACGGTTTTTGATTTATTTTAAACCATTTTAATAAACCATTTTATTCTAAAAAAGGGTGTCATCTGCCTTGAATAACGTCAGTCATGAATTCTAGATGCATTTGGTACATTTGACATGTGTCAAAGCCCCCCCTGCACTAGTCAATCATTTATACCTTAAGACTCATATTTTATCACAAAAATTACATAGTTAAACGTTTGTTCCTAGAAAAAAAAAATCCTTAATGCCTTAAAATAGCTTGAATGTAACTAACGGTACACCCTTGGCTCATATGCAAATTATGCCCGCCTCCACCCACTCAATCTCACTGAGATTTGCCTTGTCCAAATACCCACACTTGTGGTTTTTGCACTGACCACTCGCATGATGTATTTCCTCTATTTGGCCCAAGTGTTCAAGTAGGCGTAAAGCACTTTAAAAACACCATTTAGACACATAGACAACATTAAAAGCTGGATTTTCACCACATGGGGACTTTAATATCGGTCTAATTGTAGTGTATTTTATGCAAACACTACATTTTACTATAGTATGCCAAAATCGCAACAAACAGACCTCCGAAGATCTCAAAGGTTGAAATATTAAAGCATGAAAAGATGCCAAATGAAACTCAATTCATTACTCGCGGATTCATTAATTTACCCAGAATGAAAGCTCAGTCTCTGACAGTGCACGGATACTAAATTGAGCTCTCACGTGAGTCTTCTTGTGCTTGAATGGACAAAATCAAAATTGTCAAAAAAAAAATCCTCTCGGCTTGTATCCTAGAAAACAGTCAGTTACATCTTAAATGAATGTGAATGGTTGAGCAAGAAAACACACGTGTTTGAGTATATTGGATCTATGCGTTCGGTCTTAAAGTGACAGCAGCCTAATAAACCTGTTGCTATCCGCATTTGTAATGTTGCTCTTGACTGACAGTGACTATAGTTATTGTACATTTGATTAGCCTACTTTATTCAATTACTGTAGATTTTAACAGGTATCTACAATTTTGATGTCACAACAGTTTCATAAAAAATATTTATGACCAGTAAATTTTCTACAGGCATTGTCAGGGGCTATAAATGAGTTTTAGGCCCTGACTGCGAATATTACTTTAGAGGAATTGTGTTGTAAAATGTATAAAAATGATGATGACTTAAAAACATCAAAATAACATCCTCTTTCTAACAAAACAATATATCTACTACATGTAGTCAGAGTTTAACATATTTGAAAGGTGCCTATTATTCAATAAATTTAACAAAAGAAAAAAGGCATTTATGACACTTTTTTTTATTAACTTAAAGTTTCAAACTCAAACCCAGATTTTTATAAATGTATTATTTATTCTAACCCACAATATTTACATGTGTAATAGTGTCTCACTCCTGAATGACAATTAATATATTCTTCTAAATACATTTCCTTGCACACATAAATAACTTTCGTTCATTCACTCCGAGTTCTCCATCAGTGAATATTTCCACACAAAGGGATATACAGCATTCGATTCCCAGCCGCCGTTCCTCAAGCTCGGTTCTCCAGAAGAGCCTGGAAGTCCGGAGAACAAACCAACTTGTGTTTAACGTGTCCCAGCACAGACATGTCTCCCCTTCGGCCCTCGGTATTTACTGAGACCAGTTCCTACAAGAACACAGAGACAATAATAAAAACCAGAAAGACAATAATCAGATTAAGAAGCTAGATAGTGTGTACAGATTCAGACCCAAAGCTATATTGGCCATGTGCTTATATAGTGTCTGTGTCACTAATTTTATCACATTGTTTGGCATTTAAACTTGGTCTACATGCTGTCGTAACATCTTCACCCCAGCAGTCGGCAGTAAATCCCCGACCAAACCAGCAGATCAGCAGCGAACAGACGCTAATCCTTCCTGACGCATTTGAAAATGCATTTTTTGTCCTCATTGTGCTTTTGCAACGTAGTTTGGACTGAAAACATTTGTAATATTTGAAAACAATAATGCATATTGTACCCATAGATATCCATGTTTATACCAGTGTGTGCTGCTTACTTTCACATTTTTGTTAAAGGGATACTTCACTTTTTTTGGAAATAGCCTCATTTTACAACTTCCCCAGAGTTAAACAGTTGAGTTTCACCTTTTTCAAATCCATTCAGCCATTTTTAAAATGAGTGATCGTTTCGCTTGATAAGACCCTTATTCATCGTCTGGTGTCGTTTAAAGCCCTTTGAAGCTGCACTGAAACTCTCATTTGGACCTTGAACCGTTTGGACCCCATTGAAGTCCATTAGTAGTTCACTTTAAAAAAAAAACTTTTCCAGGATTTTTCTCCATATAATGGACTTCAATGGGAACCAAACGGTTCAAGGTCCAAATGACAGTTTCAGTGCAAACTGCAAACTGTTCAAAGGGCTTTAAACGATTCCAGACGATGAATAAGGGTCTTATTTAGCGAAACGAGCGCTCATTTATTAAATAAATAAAAAGTTTAAGTTTTATAAGCTCAAAATGTTTTAAGTTTTATTTGCTCTGTTCTGTGATGCGCGTTCGTGACTCTCCTGTTTGAACTCATGAACGAATCTTTTTCCGAGTCATTTGGTTCATTCAACGAACGAAACGAAGGATTGACTCTGGAAAAGATTTGTTCATTTTAAAGAATGAGTTCGAACAGGAGAGTCACAAACGCGCATCACAGAAGAGAGCAAGGCGAGCGTTTGAGCTTATAAAACTTAAATTGTGTTATTTATTTATTAAATGAGTGATCGTTTCGCTTATTCATCGTCTGGAATCGTTTAAAGCCCTTTAAAGCTGCACTGAAACTCTCATTCGGACCTTGAACCGTTTGGTTCCCATTGAAGTCCATTATATGGAGAAAATCCTGGAATGTTTCCATCAAAAACCTAAATTTCTTTTCGACTGAAGAAAGAAAGACATGGACATCTTGGATGACATGGGGGTGAGTAAATTATCAGCAAAACTTTTTTTTAAAGTGAACTACTCCTTTAAACACATGGGATGGAAACGCTGATTCATCCACAAATATTTTATGCGATAATCCAATTTTGTTAAGTTAAAAAATTCACACCTTAGATGAAAACTATTGCCATTGTTGTGAGTGTGACTGACCTGCAGGAAGGCGCATGGGGTTCCCAAGGCCACATCCAGGGTCACGTTACCCAGAATAAGCTGCACTTTCCCCGACTTCCTCACGAGCATCTTTCCCACCAAACCCTCCTGTAGATCCTTCAGACAACAGCTGTTCTCTTCTTGAGGAGACTCCTGACACACAAACACACAGGAGAACAAAAACACATGAGCATATGCATAAACTGACATGGCCATGTGACCTAAACCTAGCGAGTGGCAACCTGTGTCTCGGTCTTCTGCATCATGGTCTGTCCATCACTGGACTGAACCTCTGTTTTAGTGGGCCGGACATCGGTGGTGGGCGGCTGGCCTGGCAGCGAATCAGGGAGCTGCATGAAGAGAAGCTCCTCCTCTTTGCAGTGATTCCACACCTCCAGTAAATCAGGCAGCAAATCAGGTTCGGGCAAGGGTGGCAGTCTGAACATTGGCTCCGCCTTTGCCTCAGGAATATCCAGCGGCTCCTGCTTGACTGAAGGAAGACGAGGTGGGATGGATGATACAGAAAGAGTTTTCTCACTTCAATTCTGTGTAATGAATGCTCAGTAAAACATACTGTACTTAAGTACATTTTTTTTAAAGTATTTGAGCAAGTATTTTCCACTTGAAGGAGCGAATGAAAACGAGTGAGTGAATTCGGACACTGAGTGCACTGGAAGGGCTTTGTCTATAGTTTGTGCTGTTTAACAATCAATTGAAACTTCGCGAACTGGCAGCTCCAGTAGTGATGAATAGATTGGAATTGACACTAGGGCTGTCAAACGATTAATCGCATCCAAAATAAAAGTTTGTGTTTACATAATATATGTGGGTGCACTGTGTATAATTATTTTGTATATATATATATATATATATATATATACACACACACATGTATGAAAAAAGAAAAAAAATATTATTTATATATAAAATATTTATATTTACACATAATATAAATTATATATAAATCTATATACATGAAAATATTTCTTAAATATATACAAGCATGTGTGTGTATTTATATATATAAAATAATTATACACAGTGCACACACATATATTATGTAAACACAAACTTTTATCTTGGATGCGCTTAATCGCGATTAATCGTTTGACAGCCTTAATTTACACTTGTATGATATTAGCGATTTGGAAAATGAATAGATGGATGATTGAGCTGCGGTGCCATCTTCAGGTCAGAAGCAGAACATCATTCGCAAAGACTATTTAAAGGGATAGTTCACTTTGAAATTAATTTTTGATATGTTTTAGTTTACCTCAAGGGCATCCAAGATGTAGGTGTCTTTGTTTCCGCAGTATTTTCAATTTTGACATTTTTCAGTCAAACCGTTCTTGTCTATCAGTCATATAATGGAGGTCTATGGTCACCACCTCAAAGAGCATGCACAGAGAAGTCAAAATTAAACATGATTTAATGACTCGTAAATGTAAGTACACATTGATGGCCTAAGACACGAAACGAGCGGTTTGTGTGAGAAAACGAACAGTATTTATATCGTTTTTACCTTGTGTAATCACAGTGATCTGAATCAGTTGTTCAATGTCCAACTGAACCGAACTGAATCAGTTTAATGTTACGCCGGAAGTGATCGCTTGCATGTGACGTCACTCAATATTTACACGGAGATTTCGGAAGTTTTACCTTTTACTAAACATATTTAGATATACCGAAATCGTCTTCCATTGCGGTTTCCCGTATATCTAAATATGTTTAGTGAAAGGTAAAACTTCCGAAATCTCTGTATAAACAAAAGAGTGACGTCGGCACGCAAGCGATCACTTCCAGCACATGCGCAGACCGAAGCGCCCGTGCCCGCGCCCGTATGATTACAAGAGGTAAAAACGATATAAATACTGTTCGTTTTCTCACTCAAACCGCTCGTTTCGTGTCTTAGGCCATCAGTGTGTACTTACATGTACAAGTCATTAAATCATGGTTAATTTGGACTTCTCTGTGCATGCTTTTGAGGTGGTGACCATAGACCTCCATTATATGACTGACAGACAACAACGGTTTGACCTAAAAATGTCAAAATTGAAAACATCTTGGATCCCCTTGAGGTAAGATAAAACATATCAAAAATTAATTTCAAAGTGAACTATCCCTTTAAGCTCTATCTGTGTGTCTAGTACATTATATCCTCCATGTCCTTTGAGCAATATGTTGGAGTATATAAAATTGAAAAATAAATAAACATTCATCAATCGGTACATTTTACTTGTAGTGAATTTGTGGGGAAATTTCACAAGTTTCATAAATCGCTCCAACTTTCTGTTGGTGAACGCCACAAACATGCGTGACCAAATCTGTGTATCTGTTTCACCCTGATGTGAAACTCACGCGGATGCCTGACTGACTTCACATGCGCACACACAGATAACAGCATGGCGTGTCGTCACTCATACCCTTGACTTCCGCTCCGGTGCTGATCGGCTCCGGGTCGGACGAGCTCTTCTCGCTGAACTCCTGCTTGAAGACCCATCCGGACACGGCCAGCGGGAGCTGAACGGGACAGCTCTCTCGTTGCCCTCGCAGGTGAGGGTCGTCCACAAACTGCAGCACACACACAAGACGTTGCATAATGTTCTCAGCTGTGAAATTGGCAATATTTTCATTTGAGAGAATCACATAAAAACTATGTCATAGTTCACTTCAAAATCAAATTACAAACAAGGTGCATTAAATAAATACATGTGTTGACACAGATTTTGCATTATGAAAATTCGCCATAATTGTAATGCATCAGGTTATTTTACATTTGATTTTGGTCCCATTTTCAGAGGTGATTCTCATTAATTTAGTTTTTATTTTATTTTAATCTTCTATAAAAGAAGTACAAGACAAGTAATATTATAATTATGCATAATATTTTACGATATAACAGTATATGTATTGTATTGAAGTAATAAAAGTAAAGCTCTGTTGTGCAAAACATTTTTGACTAAATTTTTTTTAAATTCATACGATTAAAAGATAAATTAAATTAATGTTTTATGCCTTCATTTGATTGACATGAAAAGCACAGAATTTCTGGAAAAAATGAATAAATATTTTTTTGAATTCAATTAATTATACATGTTTTTCCGATTATTATAATTTAAATAAACAATTAAAAATGCAATCCAGAAGTTGGTAGGCCAAAAAAAAAAAACATAATTTGAGGGGAAATTTTTTTAAATTGTTGTTAAACTATATGATTTCAAATAATTATACATGCTTTTTGATTACTAAAATTGAATTGTACCATTAAAATGGAGTCCAAAAAATAAAAACGGAATCCAAAACCATTAAAACTAAAAAAAAAAAAATTATAATTTGGGAACTCATAATCTCACTTTATAAAACACCATTTTTAACGTTCACAAAGCAAACTCAGATTCAAAATGTAGGACCTTCCCAGACAGTCTGTGATTTCAGACTTTAGATGAAAACTATGATTAATTATCATAAAATTAATGTCTCAATAGACTAAAATAAGCTCTATTTTCTTTAATGCAAAACAGAATTTGGTTTTGGGCTGTAATATGAGTCTGCACAGGTTTGATTAGTTAATAAGCAGAAAACATACATTGTCCTTCTCCAGTTTGCGCAGGATTTCTTTGGTCTCCTCTTCGGTCTCCTTCTCCTTCTTGATGTTGATGATGGGTGAAGGACCAGTGTTTGCGCTTTCTCTGGTGTCATCGTATAAACCTAAACAAATATAGAAGAAGAAAAAGACGGTGCCGAGGCAAAAAGACAAGAAAACACGAATTATATTTAACATTAAACTAAATCAATGGTAAACTCCCTAGATATTAACCGACCGATCAATATGGCCGTTTCAATTCATAAATTCACTATTTCTTCCTCACATTCTTAAATATTACACATTACACATTATTAAATAGTCGCATTAGCATTTAACATTATTTTAGAGATTTCACTCTCAAAGAGCAATTAAATATTTGATTATGAATTTTTCTTTTTTTCTTTAAGTTTGTATTAACTTTCATAACCTTCAAGCCTGGAAAGCATTATAAAATTCCCTAATTACATTAAAACTACGTTTATGCAATACCGTTCAAAAGCTTGCGGTCAGTACGATTTTCTTTTAGGAAATTAATATTTATATTCAGCAAGGATTAAATCTTGGTTTCAAAATGACAGTAAAGACATTTAAAAATGTTACAAAATATACATTTTTTTAAATAAATGCTGTTATATAGTCACATTATTTTGAATTGTAACAATGATATTTCCCAATAATACTGTTTTTACTGTATTTTTGATCAAGGTGAACAGAAAAGACTTTCAAAAACATTAAAAATCTTACCAAACTCAAACTTTTGAACAGTAAAGCAGGTGAACACAAATTTATGAATAAATTACTGCTCATAAGTTTTATAATTCCCAAGTAGCACAGATATTTGAGCATATCTGAATGTTTTGCTGCTTTGCAACTGTAAAGAGAATACAGTTTGTTGATTGTGATTATTATTATTAGTGTCGGGCAACAATTAATAGCATCCAAAATAAAAGTTTCTTTACATAATATATGTGTGTGTACCGTGTATAATTTATTTTGTACATATAAATACACACATGTGCATGTATACATTTCAGAAAAGATCTGTTATTTATATTTAAAAAGTATATGTATGTATAATATAAATTATGTTTAAAAATATACTTGAAAAAATGTAATAAAATGTGTTATTTATATATAAATAACACATTTATCTTAAATATATACATGGATGTGTGTGTATTTATAATTATACACAGTACACACACATATTGTGTAAACACAAACTTGTATTTTGGATGCGATTAAATCGTTGCCTAATCTAATTATTTAGTCGTTGTAGTAATCATAATTATTTATTATCAACAATCACTGTGTCACAGTAATTTTACTGCTTTAATGACATTCAGTGTGACCAAATAAATCTCCTTTAAAAGATTAAAAATCTTACCCACCTCAAACTTTTGAACGGTAGAACAGGTGTACATACATTTATGAATCAATTACTGCTCATAAGTATTTTAAAGGCACAATATGTAGGTTTTTCCGCTACAAGAGGGCGCAGTTTCCAACAATAACACAGGCGTGGGTTGATGACGCAGTGATGAGCTGAATGATGGGACTTGCTGATGGATGAATGCAAACATTCATGTCTTTTTAACATTACAGTGGTATGAAGCAGGTCTCGATTGCTAATAAGGACAGATATCACACGCGAGTCCCGCGGATATAAAGGAATAAGAACATTTAATTCTCCCAAACTACCCGCAAGTGCTGGATTACTCACACGGGTCAGTTTAATAGACGAATTAAACTTGTGAGGTAACGCAGCGCTGCTTCACTTGGTCTAACGTTACACTATTACACTAAACGGCATTTAAATGTGTGTTGATGGTTATAAATATTATCCTACGTGTTAGTTCGTTTGCTATACGAAACTAGCAGTGAGCTAGATCAACATTAGAAAAACATCATATTCTAACATTTCATCATGTTGAGCTAACGTTATATGTACAGCTCACCTGTCTAATAAAGCTAAGTTGTGACTCGTGAAGCTCTGTCGAGTTAAAGTTAGCCACGGATGCTAGCTCTCGGCATCTCAAAAACGCCACGCTGATATCGAACCAAATCTCCCGAAGACCTGCTTTACCTTTCCTCTTGGCCATCATCTCAGCAGGACCCTGCTCAAAGATGGAGTGGGACTGTATGACCTCAGGACGACCCCGTCCCCTCCCTCGCCCGTCCCGCTGCCGGCCTCGATCCACATCCTTCTTATCCCGTCTCTTTCCTTCATCAGCTTTTAATCTGTGGCACAGCATCAGTTGTAAGTAACAGTATGGTGAACTGGTGAACACTGCGTATAAAAGAGGTGAACACTTACTCCTCTTTTGATTTTCGACCGATAATATTGGGGGTGAAGGTTTTCTGCGGGACAAATGACAACACACTTGAGATTGAATCTGAAATGTTCAGTAGTGAGTGACTAGCAGGGTTTGAAATTAACTTTTTCACTTACCAGCCCATTTGGCTACTAAATTTAAATTTTTAAATTAAACTACAAACTTCTATTAGCCAAAAAAGAAATTAACCAGATTAATTATGTCGCAGCTTTTATGTATATATAGTTGGATTTTATACATTAATTTCTTATCTCATACATATATTTCATCTAGCATATCCTCCCTTCCTCCTTTATCCTCATCATTTTCAAAAATGTGTTTTAGGTGGACAGACCAATATGTTACAAAGAATATCAAAAAATATAAAGATGTTGGAAAATAACATATTTTCTGTCAGCTAAATGCTTTTGAATCTTCGCTATTGCTTCAACGCAAATGAAGAAGTGCGCCGTTATTTGTTGCGTAGTGACGTGTGTGTTCAAGTAAGCCAGAAATGTGCAGATTCTGTGCAATACAATGTATTTAAAGCAACACTAAGGAAGATTTTTTTTACCTTAAAATAATGTTTCCAAAATGGTTTCAGTGGTTCATCAAGTCGAAACGGGGTGAAAGGCACTTCTGGATCCTATATCTGCTATAAGCACTAGAGTCAGACCGATATATCGGCAGGCCGATATTAGGCATTTTCCAAACTATCGGTATCAGCAGTTATAATGGCCGATAAATTAATATTTAAAAAATAAAATAAAAACGGACGAAACACGCTTGAACCATGTCATGAGTGTTGGAGATGTATAGTTTGTCCACCAGAGGGCACTCAGTCATCAGTCTGTTCTGTTGTGACAATAAAAGAAACAAGTTTCTTTATAAAATGCATTATCATATTATTTTAGTTAAAACTCATAAATAATTACAAATAACTAATGTTAGGGAAATCTATTTATTTTTGTTGCGCGTTTCGGGAAAAAAATATCGGGCGATATATCGGAATATCGGATTTTAAAACCAACAAATATTTGTATCGGTATCGGCCTTCAAAATCCTTTATCGGTCGGGCTCTAATAACCACGCTATGTAAGATTGCCAGACTGAGTCGCGTTTCTGTAGTTCTAATGAGACACAATGAGAAAACTACAAATATTGACTTGCTTTACAATAGTCATTATTTAGTTTTTCTTCGTTTCTGATGTCGCAAATACATCATACTTTCATGAAATCATGCAACTTACTCTACCTCGTCTGTGGACATCGTTCATTCCAAAGCCGGCGCCGGATAAACGACGAGCGCGCGCGCGACAGTAGGATGCGCTAGGCTAAATTATTTAAAACAGTGGTAATGGACAATTCCACTTCCAACCTGTAGGGCGACCACAGAGGAAAAGTTACATGGTGTTGCTTTAAAACATGACAACTCACGAGTTGAGTATTTGCTAAATCTGCGCAGATTTGGCTTACACAAACTTCCCCAGCAAAGTCAATAAACATAAGTAACACGCTTCGTGATTTGACAGCGTTACCCGCCACAGTTGATTGTTACCCGCAGTCGGCAGGTGTTAATTTCAAACCCTGGTGACTAGCATGTTCAGCTATGAATGCTAACCTTTTTGACGCCTCCTAACGTGAGGTCTCTGGAGCGCATTGTGGGAAGGCGTCCCGGAGTGATGGAGGCGGGGAGCCGGCGGCCCATCGGCAACCCTCTGGCTCCACCCACCTGAGGGGTCCTCGGGGGCCCGCCGGGGTCACCAGAGCCCTCCATCTCACTGACACAAGACAACAGAAGTTACCAATCAGGCTGCCAACTTCAATGTCAATTAAATTCCACATGATTTTACACGATACCCTCATGTCACGATTCGATACATATCACAATACCATATTGCAATAATCCAAAACAAGCAAAAACATTTATTGTTGATTAAAATGCTAAATTTGGTTTTACATTGTGTGTGTAAATTAATAGTCTTGGATTTGGTACAGCAGAATAAACATATTCATGATTCTGAAGCTGAAAAAACACGATAAATATGCTTGCGCTCTGTCACTGACTAGATATGTCAAAAATAAAACTTTTTACTGGTAACATCAGACATTTGCCATTATCAGGACACACAAATATTTAATGCAGTACTGACACTATAACTCTGAAAATTATAATTTTTCCCTCACACAGTAATTTTATTTTGGGTTAACTATACACAATATTGTAACTATAATATGTTTTTGTACTGCGATATATCGTTATACCTAACTAAGCATATTTAAAAGAGTTTTATAATATCTACAAGCTGCATCCAAAATCACACACTTCATACTATATAATATAATACAGTATGTGACAAAAGAAGTGTCAGAATTCACAGTACTCATAATAACCTTTTTGACCTATTTGGAAGCATCCAAATGAGTTATGTGAACAATCTCATTGCGATTCTTGAATGTATCAAATATGAAAAAGAAAGGAACAATAATATAGATGAAATGAAGAAAATGGAATTTAAGAATTGGCAGGTCACGTGATAATGACAACGTGGCGAATCTAACATGTTTTTACATTCAAAACAAGTACCTACTCAAGAGAGTAAGCTATTTTGGACGCAGCCCACACACACATACGTGTTTTTAATATATATATATATATATATATATATATATATATATACATTACAATTTCTAAATAATTAAATTAAATTTCCTTAAGTCTCATTACATGCTTCTCAATGAGAACTACGTGTTTTAAACGTTCTAGTGTTGGTGTTATTGTGCAACAATTCCCATTATGAATATTTTAGGATTGATCCCAGACTCTCACAGCAAATCTGTACAAATTGTGCAGAACTGTTGTTAAGGATTTAGGACTAAATCATTACAATGCTGTCACGCCACGATACTCAAACATTCAGTCGCAGATATATTTAACGTTATAGATCTGAAATATACATTTACAGCAAACCGGTAACGTTACTTCCACGCTTCCAAACACATGGTGACACACACACACACACACAGTCAGACCCATGACAGCAACGCTACACTTACCAGTGCGCTCACACTGATGCAGGCACTCTTCAAACACGGCCGCACTCCAAAAATATCACAAATATAGCGCAAAATCGAGATTTTAGTAAATCGATGATGAAATATAGAGCAAGTTTGTTTAAGGCGGAGTTTCACGTGCAATGACACTTTGACCCGTGTGACGTAGTGATGTGATTGGTGGACGTCAACTCTGCAAACCTTCGCGCAGAACTGCATAGACATGAAAATGCACTATCCACACTTAAATGGTTCGGCTGTCATTCATAAATGCTGGAATCCAGACCTTAGGTTGGCTCTTTATAAAGAAGACAATCAGATTATTGCTAAAGTAAAGCACTTCAAAAAAATGAAGTTTAAGTTTACTGTAAAGCAAATGTACTGTAGCTAAACATCTGTATTGTGACTCTAATATTGTTATAAAATTAAAATCATATGTCTAAACAAGTTGTCTTCCCAAATTTGAAGTTCAATCACACACACACACACACACACAAAATCATTTTATTTTTCGTCTTTTTTTCACATTGCTGTCACAATATCACTTCAATTACAAAACCGTCCGAATAGGAAACCTTGAGGCCCAGACCTTTCCAACGATATGTGTTTTGTCAAGATTAGAATCTTTTTTAAATAAAGTAGTTAAAATAAATTTTGCAATAATGAAGTATGACACCACTAGGGGGAGGAGCCCGCTAATTTCCATGATAACGCAATGTCCAATTTCAAAATGGTTTTCAAGGGATGAATTAGAGTTTTTAGGCTTTAGGATATCTAATTTCTGATGATTACTAAAATATGTGACAGGGAGAAAAAAAGGCAATTCAAAAAAGTTAAATAAGCCAAGCGTCACGCTACTAGCGAGAGTTCAGTTAAAGGGGTAACACGACTCCCATTTTAAAATGTTATAGTAAAAGTTGTACCTCAGTAGCAACCTCGTCTTTCTCTTGATAGAAATTTGTTAATAATCACATATATAATATATCTATTGGGCTGATTTTTAAAGCAAAATATATAACCTATATTACAACAATTTTATTAGGCCTATATAAAAATCATATTGAGGATAATTGTGCTTTCAGCAAATGAAACCTCCCAATCTGCCACCACAAATACATATTCAATTGTTTTTGTATCAAATTTTTATAATTATGGAATATTAAAGAAAAGTTGCAATGTTTAGAAAACAAACGCAGTTTTGGTTTGTTGTGGCTTAAAAGATTTACACATTATGAATATGAGAACTGATAAATGTTTTGATCTGTCTGTGTTTTGTTTGAAAACCTGACTATTCAATCCATGTTCATTTAGTTTTGGAAAAAAAAAAAAAATTCCATGCGTTAACAAATCTGTACATCTATAAGGGGTTTTGTCGTTGCACGACTGTCAGGGTCTGTTGTGTTTTCATTATCCACTGTTCTTTAATTTTTCTCCATCATCCGGAGAGAAGATGTGTTAAAGTCATCTTCAACACAAGTGATTGTCGAGTCCCACAAACACAATCGCATCACACCCAGTGAGGTGTGTGGTGATTGTCGTGTGTTGTGTTTGGTGTGTGTGTGTGTTGATTGTTGTGTTCTGGCGGTCAGAAGTCGTTGTGATTGGTGTGTGTGGTGATTGTCGTGTGTTGTGTTTGGTGTGTGTTGGCGTTGTAGGGATGCTCTGCTTATGAGCATATGGTGCAGCATTTGGTCGGTTCCTCTGTAGGTTGAGCATCGGAGCGTCCCGTCCTCGAGTTACTCGCGCACGAGTGGACACTGATAGATCAGGGAAGCAGTGAGTTATGGAGACTCTGGCTCTCAGTGCAGTGGCCATAACATCCAGTTAACATGCTTATATACGCCAATGGTTTTATTAAAGTCAGCTTCATTTCTGTGTTTGTGTGTGTGAGGGAGTGTTACATGGGGGCCCAGCCAGCAGTGAGTCTCTTCAAGGGAAATGGATTGATAACATTTAGTCCACTGGACGCAAGTGTGCAGAACTCAAGTGCCGTTTTATATATTCCTAAACAAGATCAATCATAAAACAAAGGCATGGCATGAAACTCAAAACAAGAATATGGACTTACAAACAGTGAACCAATCTCAGACCAGATCACATGACTAGAACAGGCGATCACATGAGCAAGAACATGAGACAAAACCAAAATCAAGACATGATAAAGTTTTCACATTTAATGACCAATTAAGATAACAACCACTTATTTTATACTAAAACACATATTAATACTTTTTTGATATGGTAGGCCTATTATTATCAGCTGCAAGGAAAAATATGTGTTTGAAGCAAAAGTGTGAGAAAGACCGGAATTATAATTTTTTTAACATGTTCAAATGTCTTCATTAGAATAATAGGCCTGTACTGTATATTAAAAGTATTTTATTTATTTTTTTACAAATTGCAGAGATAAACAGTTTGTTGCATTCAGGGCCGGCTTTGCCGACAGGCGACACAGTCGGCCGCTTGGGGCGCCATCTGCTGGACGGGGTGCAAATTGCAGAATTGAAAAAAAAAAAAGTTAATTAAAAGTTAATTAAACGTATGTATCGTATTATGAAAGCTGCGCACACGCTGTACACTACTGTGCATTGTTCACACACTGCTTGTATTTGTCCATTTCTTTAACAAGATTATACAATCCTAAACAGTCCCTCCAGAAAAACGCGATTATGCGATCGCTGAATTCAATGCAAAATCAGCCAAAGTCTGCATATTTATGCGGGGGCCGCATTTTTTCAAATACGTCGAACTTTCGCCGCGTAAATTGCCGATTTCCGTGCAAAATATGCGGGGTTTGCATAATTTCATAATCCTCGCATTTTCGTTGCAAAAAAAAAAGTCACATGTATCTTAGCAGAAAGTTGAAAAATGTGGCGTTTGCTTCACATAAGAGCAGCCATTTCCCCCTGTTTCCATGGGAACGTTATGAAGTGACGCAATTACGCGACGCCAGACTCGCGGAGGCGATTGATCTCACAAATCGAACTCGTATAACTGTCTGTCGAACGTTCTACCGTCACATTGTTACTTAATAAACAACATAAGATAAAAGTAGTAGCATCAAACAGAAATTACCCGCACACATGGGGTGTTCGACAGTTCAACAGGGAGCGCGCAGCTCAGGGGCCACACCTTATTGTAGTATGCTTGTTAATCAAAGGAAGTAATAAGAAATGACTCTTATATTAACAGGATGTTGGGGGAATCACTTTTTTTCTCTTTTTCATCAAACCGCAATTTTTGCAAGTTCCCTCAATTTTTGTAAATTCCAGCAATTTCATCGCATAAAATTGCATAAATATCCCACATATTCCATCGCATTTTTAAAGAAAACTGGCCGCATAATCAATCAATTTTTGCCCGCAACAATCACAAAAAAACTCCGTGTTTTTCTGGAAGGACTGAATACTATTATGGTAAATGTTAAATATAAATCGCAAATTTTTTCACAAATTTTTGGAAATTACCACCACAAAATCAGTCATTTTGATCGCAAAAATCACAAAAAAAAATCGTGAAATCCTGGAGGGACTGCCTAAAAAACGACTGAGTGGCAGCTGTCAAACTGACGCGCGTATGTTGCTCAGCAACCGGGAGTGGCGCGAAAACATCTGACAGCTGGGTTTAGCATCTGCCAAATTTTTAGTATCCTTTAGAGATTTAAAAACAAAAAAATCACAGGTAACAAAACTTCAGTCAGCAGAAGACGTGAAATCCTAAAACTCGGGACTTCTGAATCAGTTTTTGCTAAAAAAAATAAATCATGAAGTTTTGAGACTGCAATCAGATACATTTGAGTTTCCTCAGAGTCTGCTGAAGATGCACCGTCCTCACCTCTCTCTCTTTTATTAGAGATAGAGGAAATCTCTTCATTTCTAGTTCAGTGTGATGTTAAATTAAATTTGCTATTGCTCAGTCACTGTGAAAGTGGAGCGATTGTGCCATGTTCTCTGTGTGTGTGTGTGTGTCCTGGTGGTGACAAAATGTCCCCAAAAAGATGTCAATATCCTAGATCTTTCTGGGGAGATTTTTGGTCCCCATGAGGTAAACAGCTTAGAGATGTTTTTTTTTTGTTTGTTTTTTTTTGTTGTTTTTTTGGAAATGTTAAAATGCAGAAGGTTTTGTGTGATGGGTAAGTTTAGTGTAAAGATAGAGAATATATAGTTTGTACAGTTTAAAAACCATTATGTCTATGGAAAGGGAGAGAGGGAGAGAGAGAGAGAGAGAGAGAGAGAGAGAGAGAGAGAGAGAGAGAGAGAGAGAGTTAAATCAGGCAAGATTGAGTAGCTTGTTATATTATATCACTTTTATGGTTCAGTGATGCTGCACTTTCTCATGGCTGTATTCCTTTGGCATACAGCTGTAGAAGACACACACACACACACACCACACAGAGAGAGAGAGAGAGAGAGACGATAAATGAAAGTGAGCAAGTGGGGGCAAATGAGAATCCCCTCGCACTCGGTTTTCATCCTCGTTTAAGGATCTGGCAGCAGCGAAAGAGAGGAGAGGAGAAGACGAGGAATCAAAGACACGTTTATTCACTCATCCTCTGTTCGCCAACGCTTCCCTCCATCATCACAGCGCCCGCTCAACACAGAGGTACGGCTCTCTTATTCAGTACAACAACACTTCATTACATACGTATATAGAACAGAATAGAATAGAACTAAATAGAATAGAATAGACTCTAAAAATGCTGGGTTGTTTTAAACCAATTTTGGGTAAAATATGGACAAACCCAGCCATTGGGTTAAAAATGTCATTTAAAAATGTAACCCAATGACTGGGGGTTTGTCCATAATTTCCCCAAAATTGGGTTAAACAACCCAGCATTTTTGAGAGTGTAGAATCCTGCTTTCCTCAGTCGCAGTGTATTCAGGTCAGGACTGCTGTTGTAGACTTTCTCCGTCCAGAAGAGGTAAATGTCTTCTGTTGTGTAGTTTATCACAGTGAAACGCAGAGCACTGTTGCTTATATTAGTTTCACTCTCACCACAGTAGAGCTGCATTGCAGAGGCATCATGGGAAACCTGAACCGTGACGGACAGAGTCATTAATACTCGATCCTACTGGATGCTAAAATAAATAAATAAAAATAAAAATCCTACTGGTTGCTTGTTGAACTGATCACTGAGATGAGACTTTATCAAAGTGGAGAGAAAGAGA